GCGGCGCGGGAGGAGGCGGCGCGGAGCAGCGGCGGCGGCGCCCGGGCGGGGATGGCGTCTCCGGGAGCGCTGGAGCCGGCGGCCGGCAGCGTGCCGGGAACCAAGGTGGAGCTCACCGTGTCCTGCCGGTGAGCCGGGAGCGGGGCGGGGGAGCGGGCGGGGACCGGCGCCCGGGGTGCGGAAGGCGCCGGGATGCTCCGCGGGGTGCCGGTGTCCCGCAGCAGCCGGTGCCTCACCGGTCAGTCCCCAGCCCTCGGGGGGAGTGGGGCTGCGGGTCCCCGTCGCCCCTCGGGCACCACGGAGCGTTCCCAACGCCCCTCTGTCCCGGTTGCCACCCGTGGGGAGAGATCCCGTCCCCTCCGCGGGGTCCCGGGGGACGCGGGCACCGGGCACGGCTCCGCGGCGCGGCCGCTTGGAGGGACCCGCCGCCCTTACCCGGGGCTGGGGCGCAGGACGGCCCCGCTCGGGGTGATGCGGGGTGCCGGTGGCGGCTGCAGGCGGGCTGCCCGGCTCCGTGAGCCCCGCGGGAAGCAGCAGGACCAGGAGTGGGACAGCCGGTGGTCCATCGCGGGACGGGGGCTGCGGAAGAGATGCTGCTCGGTGCTCCCGCGGGGTCCGAGGGGCGAGCGACGGCCGCCGAACCGGTCTGTCGGTGACTAAATATAGCCCGGTAGAGGCACCGCTGCCCTCGCTGCCCACAGCTCGGGGGTCCTGCCCGCAGGGGCCGGCAGCAGTGGTCTCCTAGGCAGCAGCATCCCCCACGCTGCCCGGGGGGGGGTCAGGGAAAGCCTTCGACCAGCCCTACAAAGCCCCCTTCCCGGCTGGGCAGCACTGGCACGTCCCTAAGCCCCGCAAACTCCAGTCTGGACCAGGGGCTGCGGTGCCTCTTCCCTGTGGCTGAGCCCCTGCCCTCCATGCCAACCCCTCTGAGGGGCAGCAGGGCCGTGGGGCCTGGCAACTCTGGCAGGGGCAGGGGTTTGCTCCTGGATATCGCCCAGGGCGGGGGCAAGCTTCGGCTTCATGGCTTCCCAAGAGCTCAGCCCCATCCAGGGCTGCTGGGGGAGTCCTGGGGTCTCTCCACGGTGCCCCCATCCCTGTGTGCTGGGGCCAGGGGAACCCGCTGAGCCCCACAGCCCCTGGCCGTGCCCCGGCTCACCCTTTGTGGCCACCCCCAGGGGTGCGGGAAGGATCCCAGTGGAGCCAGTTGCAGCCCCCGGCACTTTCCGGTGTCACACCGAGCAAAGGACAGATCAATGGCTCTGCCGGTGGCTGCATCGGGGGCGCAGAGCTGGTCTTTCTTCTCACTTCTGCGCCCCGCCATTAGCTGCGCTCCCGCTGCCGGGGTGCGGCGGGCACTCAGCCGGCGCCGGCAGCACGGGGGAAGGTTTCATCCTCTAAATGGGTTCCCTGTCATGTTCAATCATTGTCAGCCTCGGAGACGCTGCTCCTCGCTCGCCCCGCTGTCCCACTGAACCCCGGGGTGGGAGGCAGCGCGTCGGGCCAGGGTGCTGGCGTGGCTTTCTGGCATGGTGCTGTCCCATGGTTGGGGGGGAAGACATGGGGACACCACTGTGGGGCTGGGTGGGTGGCACAGAGGGTGGCTCACGCCTGGATCCGTCCCCTCAGGAACCTGCTGGACATGGACACCTTCTCCAAGTCTGACCCAGGTGGGTGGCAGGAGTGGGCAGGGGGCACGGCACGGCATGGCACAGCACAGTATGGCACGGCAGCCCAGCTCTGCTCCTCTCTCCGCAGTGGTGGTCCTCTTCGTGCAGGGCTCGGGGAGCAGCGAGTGGAAGGAGGTGAGCGTGGCTCCTCTTGCTGGGTCCCTGGGGATGTTCCCAGCCCTGTGCCAGGGGTCCTGCCACCCCCAGTGCCCCCACTCCTGGCTAATCCCTGGCTGAGTTAAACAGGCCCATATGGCCACCCGTGTCCATGCTAATGATCCCTCCGTGTCCACGCTAATGATCTGGCCCCGCCAGCACCACTAATCCCCCTGCCGGGATTAGCGCCAGGGCAGCTGCAATGGGGAGGGGTCCCAGCAGGGGGAAGGGGGTGGGGGGGGGCCGCCCTCACCCTTCTCTCTGCAGTTTGGGCGCACGGAGGTGATCGACAACACCCTGAACCCTGACTTCGTCCGCAAGTTCGTCCTCGACTACTACTTTGAGGAGAAGCAAAACCTCCGCTTCGACGTGTGAGTGGGGCGGCCGGGGAAGGGCTCAGCCCCGGCTCAGGGCGGAACAAAGCACCGAGTCAGTAATAAATAACGCTAATAAATGAGGATAATAAATAGTGATAATAAATAAGGATAGGGAGGCAAAAAGCACAGAGGGGTGAGGGAAGCGGGGCTGTGTGCCAGGGCACCCCCGTGGGCACCGGCTCAGGGCTCTGCTCTCCCATCACCAGCTACAACGTGGACTCCAAGAGCTGCTCCGTTTTAAAGCAGGTGAGCACAGCCCATGTTGGGGGGAGGGTGGCTCACGCCTGGATCCGTCCCCTCAGGAACCTGCTGGACATGGACACCTTCTCCAAGTCTGACCCAGGTGGGTGGCAGGAGTGGGCAGGGGGCACGGCACGGCATGGCACAGCACAGTATGGCACGGCAGCCCAGCTCTGCTCCTCTCTCCGCAGTGGTGGTCCTCTTCGTGCAGGGCTCGGGGAGCAGCGAGTGGAAGGAGGTGAGCGTGGCTCCTCTTGCTGGGTCCCTGGGGATGTTCCCAGCCCCGTGCCAGGGGTCCTGCCACCCCCAGTGCCCCCACTCCTGGCTAATCCCTGGCTGAGTTAAACAGGCCCATATGGCCACCCGTGTCCATGCTAATGATCCCTCCGTGTCCACGCTAATGATCTGGCCCCGCCAGCACCACTAATCCCCCTGCCGGGATTAGCGCCGGGGCAGCTGCAATGGGGAGGGGTCCCAGCAGGGGGAAGGGGGTGGGGGGGGGCCGCCCTCACCCTTCTCTCTGCAGTTTGGGCGCACGGAGGTGATCGACAACACCCTGAACCCTGACTTCGTCCGCAAGTTCGTCCTCGACTACTACTTTGAGGAGAAGCAAAACCTCCGCTTCGACGTGTGAGTGGGGCGGCCGGGGAAGGGCTCAGCCCCGGCTCAGGGCGGAACAAAGCACCGAGTCAGTAATAAATAACGCTAATAAATGAGGATAATAAATAGTGATAATAAATAAGGATAGGGAGGCAAAAAGCACAGAGGGGTGAGGGAAGCGGGGCTGTGTGCCAGGGCACCCCCGTGGGCACCGGCTCAGGGCTCTGCTCTCCCATCACCAGCTACAACGTGGACTCCAAGAGCTGCTCCGTTTTAAAGCAGGTGAGCACAGCCCATGTTGGGGGGACACATGGTGGTGCCCCGATGTGATGCCACAGCGGGCACCCCGAGGCTGTGCCCTGTGTGGAGGGGCCAGGTGCCACTGGCCTCAGGGGGCTCTAACCCACTCTCCATCTCTCCATGCCCCATGGGGACCGGCAGAAGGTAGGTGGGCTGGCCATGCACCAACCCCATGGGGACAGGACACACCACAGGGTGGCTTTCAGGGTGCAGGATGGGCGTGGGGTGGCCCGAGAGGTGCAGGACTGGTTCAGGGAAGTGAGGTGGCCTTGGGGGGGCACAAGGAGGGTCCAGGGCCATGGGATGGCCCAGGTGGCAAAGTATGAGTCCAGAGCATATAGAGTGGGCACCTGAAATCATCCTGGGGGTGCAGGATGGGTCCTGTGGGTGGCAGGAGTGGGCAGGGGGCACGGCATGGCATGGCACAGCACGGTATGGCACGGCAGCCCAGCTCTGCTCCTCTCTCCGCAGTGGTGGTCCTCTTCGTGCAGGGCTCGGGGAGCAGCGAGTGGAAGGAGGTGAGCGTGGCTCCTCTTGCTGGGTCCCTGGGGATGTTCCCAGCCCCGTGCCAGGGGTCCTGCCACCCCCAGTGCCCCCACTCCTGGCTAATCCCTGGCTGAGTTAAACAGGCCCATATGGCCACCCGTGTCCATGCTAATGATCCCTCCGTGTCCACGCTAATGATCTGGCCCCGCCAGCACCACTAATCCCCCTGCCGGGATTAGCGCCGGGGCAGCTGCAATGGGGAGGGGTCCCAGCAGGGGGAAGGGGGTGGGGGGGGGCCGCCCTCACCCTTCTCTCTGCAGTTTGGGCGCACGGAGGTGATCGACAACACCCTGAACCCTGACTTCGTCCGCAAGTTCGTCCTCGACTACTACTTTGAGGAGAAGCAAAACCTCCGCTTCGACGTGTGAGTGGGGCGGCCGGGGAAGGGCTCAGCCCCGGCTCAGGGCGGAACAAAGCACCGAGTCAGTAATAAATAACGCTAATAAATGAGGATAATAAATAGTGATAATAAATAAGGATAGGGAGGCAAAAAGCACAGAGGGGTGAGGGAAGCGGGGCTGTGTGCCAGGGCACCCCCGTGGGCACCGGCTCAGGGCTCTGCTCTCCCATCACCAGCTACAACGTGGACTCCAAGAGCTGCTCCGTTTTAAAGCAGGTGAGCACAGCCCATGTTGGGGGGACACATGGTGGTGCCCCGATGTGATGCCACAGCGGGCACCCCGAGGCTGTGCCCTGTGTGGAGGGGCCAGGTGCCACTGGCCTCAGGGGGCTCTAACCCACTCTCCATCTCTCCATGCCCCATGGGGACCGGCAGAAGGTAGGTGGGCTGGCCATGCACCAACCCCATGGGGACAGGACACACCACAGGGTGGCTTTCAGGGTGCAGGATGGGCGTGGGGTGGCCCGAGAGGTGCAGGACTGGTTCAGGGAAGTGAGGTGGCCTTGGGGGGGCACAAGGAGGGTCCAGGGCCATGGGATGGCCCAGGTGGCAAAGTATGAGTCCAGAGCATATAGAGTGGGCACCTGAAATCATCCTGGGGGTGCAGGATGGGTCCTGAGTGGGGGGCTCTTGGGGCACAGGGTGGGTCCACGGTACTTGGTGTGGCCCCAGGGCAGGGTGGTGACAGGTCCCATGGGTGCACTGGGTGGGTGAAGGGTGGGTGTGGGTGGGGGGGTCTGTGGCAGGAGCCCCCAGGGTCTCACGACGCTGTGCTTGGGGCGCAGGACTTCCTGGGGCAGGCATTTGTGGCACTGGGGGAGGTGATCGGGTCCCAGCGGGGCCGCCTGGAGAGACCCCTCACGTGAGTCATGCCCTGTGGCAGGGTGAGGGGGGGGTCCTGCATCGTGTCCCCAACCACCCGCCCCATGGGACCCTGTCCCTGCATGTCCCCTGCTGGGGACAATGGCCACACTAACAAGTGTTAGCTGTGGGGCACAAGCCTCAACCCTGAGCCCATCTCCTCCCCCTGTCCCATCCTCCATGTCCCCAAGCTGACCTGGCACCTCTGCCCCCAGGGGGGTCCCAGGGAAGCGGTGTGGGACCATCCTGCTGCTGGCCGAGGAACTGAGCAACTGCCGGGTGAGTGCCCATGTCCTGGTGGCAGCGAGGCAGGGGCTGCATGTCCCCCCCCAGCACAGACAGCAGCTGGGGCTGGGGACAAGGAGGCAGCCGGCAGTGACAGTCCACATCCACAGGACATCATCACAATGCAGCTGTGCGCCAACAAGCTGGACAAGAAGGACTTCTTCGGAAAATCCGACCCCTTCCTCGTCTTCTACCGCAGCAACGAGGACGGCACGTGAGCGCAGGGGCCCGGTGGGGTGGGCAGGTGCCAGTGTCACCGTACAGCGCACCCCGACCCTGCCCTGTCCCCGCAGCTTCACCATCTGCCACAAGACGGAGGTGGTGAAGAACACGCTCAACCCGGTGTGGCAGCCCTTCACCATCCCCGTGCGCGCTCTCTGCAACGGCGACTACGACCGGTACGGGGACAGGGACAGGGACCAGGGTAGTGTGGTGGGGATGGTGACACGACTGGTCATGGGGCCAGAGCATCTCCTTCATGGGTTTCACCCCGCAGCGGCAGGCAGCTCAGAATTGAGTCATTATTAGGTTTTTTTTACCCTCTTTTGCAACCCAAATTACATAAAGGCATCCCCCTCCTTTCCAGGGGCCCTGCCCTGACCCAAATTTCCCGCTTCCCTCCTGGCAGAGATGCCGGCGGCTGGCAGGCAGGGGGGCTCGCTGCTGGGGTGCTGAGGGGCTGGATGTCCCCAAACCAGGGGGGGGCCATACCAGCCAGGCTGGCAGCTCACCCTCTGCCTGCATTCACTTGCAGGACAGTGAAGATAGACGTGTACGACTGGGACCGGGATGGGAGGTGAGGCTGTGTCCATGGGGTGGCGGGGGACATCAGGGTGCCACCACCACTTACTGGGGTGCCTCTCATCGGGGCATCTGGGCATGGCAACCCCATGGTCCTCCCCCAGCCATGACTTCATCGGGGAGTTTGCCACCAGCTACCGGGAGCTCTCCCGAGCGCAGAGCCAGTTCACGGTGTACGAGGTAGGGCAGGGGGCCAGGGTGGGGGGCAGGGGGACACCCCGCACTGGAGATGACCCACCCCTGCACTCACAGGTGCTGAACCCCAGGAAGAAATGCAAGAAGAAGAAATATGTGAACTCCGGCACCGTGAGTGGGGCTGGGGCACTCCTGGGGCTCCTGCCCACAGGAGGCCAGGTCTGATCCCCTCCCTGTTCCCACCAAGGAGGGGGGGTCTGGGTCTGACCCCCCCGTGCCCACAGGTGACACTGCTCTCCTTCTCCGTCGAGTCCGAGTTTACCTTCGTTGACTACATCCGGGGCGGGTGAGTAGGGGGCTGGGTGCCCCCGGCTCCCCGAGACCCCCCACGGACAAGGGTCTCGGGGTGAGGACGGAGGTGACAGCGCAGGTGCAGCCTGGGGGTGAGGAGGGGGTGGTGGG